TGTCGCACACGTGAGGCTCACGCACTGCGCAATGCGAGGGTCCATGAATTATTCCTGGTCCGATTGTTGGAATCCAATAATTTCATCGCTCGTTACGAATAGGGTTGAACCCTGCTCGAGCTTCGCAGATTTCATGAGATGTCGCTGCTGAAATTTCGAGGCTGAAATTTCACTGAAATTTTGAATTTTTGGAAAGGATTCGCCTAATCCGGTTTCCACCATCGAAAGTTCCTGTCCGAAACGTCGTTTACTCTGCTGAACAATTCGATTCATCAATAGAGATCCCCTTCCCGATCTCCATTGTTAACATGCTCTAGAATGCTACACAGCATTAGATCACCGGAAAATTTTTACTTGATCATCGTACATTAATATCATCCGATTGTGCGCTGAGTGCGCGCTTTATTATAATCCGTCGGATTATAATAAACGACGCGCAAGGTGGCCCTAGTTGATTTCTGCGCAGAAGGTTCTCTGAATAAGCGCGCGCTCGCGGATATTTGAAAGAAGGCTATCGGATGTTTGAATGACAGTCGGATATTTGAGGCATATTCTCCCTGGCTGGAAAAATTGGGACCTTCAGAGACTGGTAACTTACCAGTGGTAAGGGCCATCTCTACAGATGTCAGATGTGCAGTATTATGGGCTTGAAGGGGAAGTGGGGAACCAAACCCGTCAAAGCTTCAGGAGATAGGCTAGCTGACCGGTGCAAACGCCACGAAGCGTCCAAATCTCATCAACAGAACTCTAAAACAAGCACTCATGCACTCCGCGTTATACCCCGGCATGCGAGTCTCGAGAAAGTCGAGACTCGCATTATTCTCGTCTCGTGAGAAAAAACGAGAGAAAATAACGAGAGTTCTTAGAGGTGGGCACCCGGCAATTTTCTAGTCGCCCGGCCCGGCCCGGCCCGGCAGCCTTTGAACCCGCTTCCCCGGCCCGGCCCCGGTGACCCGGCAGTCTTTTTTTACCCATGTTCCGGGTTTAGCGGGCCCGCCGGGTTGGCCGGGTAACCCGGCCCGGATCGCCAGGCAAAAAGGCTGTCGGACATGATCGACGGTAAGAACTTCTTATCAAGAAGAACCAATATCAGCGCTGCATGGATCAAACGATATTCCAATGTGCCAAGTCACGCGATTGAAACGCAAAGTGCGCGTTAACTTCCAGAAATCGCGATGATCCCTGGAAATTGACGCGAAATCCCGCCCTAGGTACCATTAAGAGGACTGCTAACGGCTTGAAATATCTGCGCTGCCGGGTTTCCGGGTGACCCGCAGACAGCTGCGGGTCATTTTTCGCCCGCTCACCCGCATGACCCCGGCAACACTGGCGGGGAAGCCGGGTTTGTCACTTTGACCCGGCCCGGCCCGGCTCGTTCCGGGGCCGGGCCGGGGCAAATCGGGTCGCCGGGGCCGGGCAAGGGTGCCCATGTCTAAGAGTTCTACGCGAGAGAGATTAAGCGAGAATTCCCGCGGGAAAGCACATCTTCTCGTTGCCTCACTTATTACTCGAGATAACGCGACTCTACAGCCAAAAATCAGTCTAAGTAGTACTTTTCTCAGTCTATTCGCGAGTACCGGTGAATTTAGACTAGACAGTCAAAAACATAATCTCGCGGCTCGTCGAACCTATTCAACTCGTTTGAACTCGTTTGAACTCGTTTGGACTGGTTTCTCAATTCCTAACATGAATCATGTTCTCCAGGGAATATGAACTTATGTTCAACGCAACTAACATTCTACGAGCAATAGCATGCAATACTTCGTTACATTAATACTTCCGTTGATACTAACGAATTCATTCAAGCGGCTTGAATCAAGCCTATTGATGAAAAATGATTGACCATGCCATACAATATAGTATTATGCAGTGCAGAGAGACGGCTTGTTGGTCTCCCAATTAGCGGCGGTTATGAAGCGATCATATCAGACAATTGGTGCTTCGATTCTTGAGAAGTGATTCCAATAAGGAAACCTTCATAGATTGTCTTCGATCTCCTAATAGAGCTCTCGCCATAGAAAAGAGCCCTTCGGTCTGACTTGTGCTTAGCACCATGCTCTTGCATAAATCCTTCAGATTCGCTATATAAGGATACTGGGCGAGAACATTAGGATCCGACCAGTAGGCATCATATCCCAGTGCCACCGGATCAGATCTACTATAACGTTCCACTTCGGCTTCGATCTTCTCCGTCAGCACTTCGTCCGATAGTTTTTCAGTAGCTTCTTGCTTCTTGAGTGCGTTCAAGGAGGGTAACCCTGTTGCATAGCACCCCAAGAAGCTATCTTCCAAGACCACTTCCCCAGCGGTCTGAGGCATATCGGCAGGTCCGGAATTGTCGGGCTCATCTGCAACGCCTTCCTTAGATTTAGTGACTATGCTGCACCAACTAACCATTTGCCACTTGATATATTCTTCTGATAGTAAATCGGGAGTGGTAGAACCGGCATCTTCGAATTCCTTTCGAATTTCCAAATCCATCAGACCTCGGAATTTAGCTCTTGGATACAAAGCCAGCGGAAGCAGCATATCGGGAGTCAGACGCACGATGAGCTGAGATGTATGTCAATGACATAATGTCACATATAATATAGGAGTTGTCAAGTAGATATTGCCCATAAGAGATCAGTTACTACCTTCTTCTTGAATGTTTCACGAAGCTTTATTCTCGCATCCGAAATTATTTTATCTTCGTCAGGATTAGCTGGTGCATGGAGGGTCTTCCACACGTATTCGAGAGCTCTAAAATGAATGATTGAAAAATGGGGTTCAGTATATTTCCCATATCACAGAATGGATTTGCACGCAGTCCCTCCAGCAAGCGATTCCATAGACACTGTCGCACGCCTGAAAGGCTCCAACAGCTCCACGAGCTGCTCGATAACGTTTCGCTTGCTGAATATACTCTCGAAAAAACTGCCAAATAAGATCATATTGATGATATTGAACAAATTTAAGCATTTTAGTTCTACCGTAGCTGTCCTTTTTGAACTAATATTTGTTCGACACCTTCCCAGCTTTCCAAGAGTCTCGTGAGCATGATGTATATAGCATCCCACTTGACGCCGCCTCTAGACTTCAATCTGAACCAAAAAGTAGCATATGACGGCACGTATCGTGAAAGTTCTGTACTTTTTGTACCCTTTAAGGGATAATATTGGATTCAATTTGGCTCTCTTGAAGTAAGTAGCCAATCTACTCGCCGCGGCCACAATTCCATTCGTCGTTTTGGCAGTATTTCCCTTCTCGAGATTACTGGGCTTCAAAAGGGCTGCTGTGCTCTTGTCTTGTTCCACCGGAGCTTGGGGCTTCGTTGGATCCAGAATTGCCCCACTGACTAGGGCTAACAAATGACAAAGACAGCCCGAACTTGCATATCCAAGGTCGTCCAACGCTCGAATGTTGCTCTGACAGTTATCGGAGCAGAATAAGCAAGCACCTGGATCGATATTATACTCAGCGCATACCTGAAAGAAAAGAAGGATGCAATGGATCTGTGAAGACGACAGTAGCAGTAAGCGAATGAACGGAGACCCCCAATCGCCGAGGGTTGTTGCTGAATTATCTAGTTCGGAGTTAGCACATGCTGATTTACATCTGTTATCGCTTCTCCAATACTCTTCGCAGTCTGATCAGGCATTACTCTCAACGCCATTAGAACGGGGAATGCTGCACGATCTGGATTCTTATGCTGGAGCTTGCCCCCCCAGAGTATAACTTGTAGGGCCATGATTTCTTCCTCGCCGGGTGTAGTCCACATGTCGAAGAGTATCTAGAGACTGTCAGTGAGAGTGGTTGAAACTATCATGTAGCTTACCTGATATGGCTCGGGCTGCACCTTTAGATGTGCCTTCACAAGTTCAGTTCTCTGTAAACTGGTTTCCTTCACCAAACGTCTCAGGTGGCGTTCCCCTGCGAGACTAGAGGCTATGTCAATGTGTTTACCTAGCTTAAGTGTCAGAGATGACACAAGACCCAGCAGCTCCTTCATTTCATCACATTCGAACAATAGGAATGGACTCGATGTTGCTGAGAGCAAACTGACTGCTGCTTGATTGAGCGTATTGCGATCTTCAAGACCGAGCTTGGCCTTATCCCTCGAGAACTGGGTTATGAGAGGCTGACGCATATTCTCATCGTCCACGAACTTCACACAAGTGTGTCTCTTCATGTTGGTTGTACTGCTCCCTGTCTGCTTGTCGACTGTGCCACAAAGTATGCAGTAGACTCGACGCTCACAGGTCTCCACTGACCCTTTAACGCGAATCTGCCTGAACTGTTCCCATACCGTGGAGGTTAGATCAGGCTTGTGGAGGTCAAAGGCATCGAAGTCAAGTGGTTCTCCCGGCCTCAGTTTTGGGTGAACCGTTGGGGTGTGCGGACGTGGGCGTCGCCTTTTGGTAGGGGGTCGAGAGGAACCACTCTTCACAGGTCGTTTCCCACATGTGGACGCCTTCACCACAGGAGTAGCACCTTCGAGATCAATGGAAATAGGGCTCTTATGCGTGGGAAACAATCCCTTGTTCACAGGAGAGTCATGGCCTTGGCGTAAGTCGTTAAGAATAGCAGTGAGGTCAATAGACGGGGTTGAAGTTTGCCTACGCGATGATCCGGAGGGTTGAGAGCGAGGAGTGGTCATGGTAATGAAATCTTCATGAAAGTAAGGTATATATTGTAACATGACACAACACTATTCATGTTATCTTTGCGATGATAACAACTCGAGCGAATAGAAATCCTATTATAGGATGTAAGGTAGGCCTGACTAGGATAGTCAGTCAATGTCGAAGTCAGAATCAATATGATATCCATGTTAATAACATCAGGTTATCTAAAGACTAGTCAGACTATTCGTTACATGATAGTATCATCTAATCATGATGATACTGTTATCATCTAATCTGTTATCATCATGATACTGATGATAACAGA